TGAGAGGCCCGTTATCATTTAGCCTTATGATCGGTCCAGTCAGGCTCCAGGACATCACAGGGTCATTGTTACCTAGGCTCCCAACTGGCCAACTCAGGACCCAACATCAATGAAGCACTATGACTTAGCCTTCTGATTGGTCCATTCAGGGCTCGGGACAATACGATTTATGGTTACCTAGACCTCTGATTGGTCAACAGGAACCCAAAGCCAGGACATGGGGAGCAGGTAGAGCTCTGGAGGCCCCAGGGAGAGGTGAGGAGGTTAAGAGCTCAGGGTTGGGGGAAATCTTCAGTGGCCATCGGGGCCCAGATTTCAACAAGGGGAAGTCACAGGAAATAAGGCCACCTTGGCTGGGTCATGCCAGGGCAAACCAGTGCGGCAAGGGCAGCAGCCAAGTGAGCTCAGCCACCCCTGGGGGTACAAGGGTCCTAAAACCTTCCCTGGGTCCCAGCCCTACCAGGGTGTGGAAACTGGGGCCGGAGAGCCAGTGGCAATTAATGCAGCTCCTGGCCCGTCACCTCCATCTATGGGGTCAGGGTAGGGCAGGGGTGGGGCTGCGGTTACAGATCAGGTGGGCTCAGTCCTCCAGCCCATCCATTAAGTCTGCGATGCTCTCCACATAGTAATGGGGCACCAGGTCATGCTGGCTGGCCGCCAGGTAGGCCTGGGCCTCCTCCAGGCGAGAGACGCCCGTGAGCGTGAGCACGGTGGTCATGCCACAGCGGTGGCCGAAGAGGATGTCGGTCTCCAGGCGGTCGCCCACCATGAGCATGCGGGCAGGGTCCAGGCTGAAGTGCTCCGTGATGCACTCGAACATGTAAGGGCTGGGCTTGCCCACCACCAGGGCCTGGCGTCCCGAGGCGGTCTCCACTGCAGCAGCCAGGCTCCCAGTGCCTGCAAGGAGACGGACTCGGTCAGTGTGGGGAGGCTGCTGGGAAGGAATCCAGGGCCTGGAACCGGAATCCGCAGGGAGGCCACTTGGCATGGGGGCACAATTAGGCACTGGAGCCCTGGTGAGGTGCTCAGTTGCTTAGAGTGTCGTCCTGATACGCCAAAGTTGCAGGTTCGATTTCTGGTCAGGGCATGTACAAGAATCAACCAATGAATGCACACATTAGTGGGACAAATCGATGTTTCTCTCTTTCTAAAATGAATGTAAAAAAAAAAATTAGGCACTGGCGTCAAAAGGCCTGCTTCCAATCTTAGTGTGGTGGTGAAGAGGCCAAGCTCTGCAACCAGAATTCAGACTAATCTCCAACTTTCTCAGGCAGGCTGTTTCACCTGTGCCTCAGTTTCCCCCTTCCCTGATATGGCACTAATCTCCTGGGGGTATTGTAAGGAGTGAACGAGCCACTGCATGTAACAGAAGTTCACCGTTTTACCCTGGCAGCTGTGTGCCTTCGGGCAAGCCGTCTGCCTCTCAGAGTTCCCTTGGACCTGCCGGAAAAGGAAGACCCAAGTGATGCCAACCTTCAAAGAGGCGCTAACACAGCCTCACGGGGCAAGTGCTCTGGAAATGGAACAGCACTTCCCAAACAGCGGTTGTGGTTATGGCTACAGGAATGTGCGCTCCTGGCATCGGAAACTGGCGCAGCCCTTTTGGAACACAGCAGGGCACAGAACCGCTCGCACCTCTGACCCAGTCAGCCTCCGCCGGGACAGCGGTCACAAGAAGAGAATTCAGGCTGGAGACAAAAAGCTACATGCCTGACGATGTCTGTGGCCACAGTAACTAGAATACCCAAAACTGTGGGCCACGCCCAAGTGTTTAACAATAGGGGGACTGTTTAGAAAAGGACAGCCCCGACTCCTGGCCATCTGCCCCACACAATGAGTCCACTGTGCCTGTCCCACAGGCACATCTTTGTGCCAGAATGTTCTGCCTTCACACTAATGTCCCTGAACAAATGATGATGATGATGAAAGTAGTTACAATTTACTAAGCGCATTTTAAAGTGCCTGGGGCTGGGCTGGTGCTCACGGAAGCCCATTTTACAGATGAGAAGGCTGATGCTCAGTGATGTTAAGTAACTGGTCCAGGGTTGCACAGCGTAAAAAGTGGCAGATAAATTGGGAGTCCCGGGTGTTTCATTTTCAGGAATTCGGTCAGTTGGTGGTTAAACAAAGCCATTGTCTAAAGTCCACTTATGTACACCTCCTAATGATTTTACCATTATCTGTGCTCCTAACATGACTTATAGCTGTACCAATGGAAAAACGATGTAATGGTGTGCACACATCTTCCCAATTCCATGTTCAGTGACTTCACGTTGGTAGCTTGAAAATCTGCCATGGTGGGAGTATTCACCCCATGGACATTGGCAAGTGGTATAAATCAGGGTGCTGCAGCCCTAGCCGATTTGGCTCAGTGGATAGAGCATTGGCCTGTGGACTGAAGGGTCCCAGGTTCGATTCTGGTCAGGCTCAATCCCCAGGAGGCAGCCGATCAATGATTCTCATCTTTGATGTTTCTCTCTTCCTCTCCCTTCCTCTCTGAAATCAATTAAAGAAAAAATCAGGGCGCCCCAATTTACTACACATTTATCAGTTGGTCTGACCCCAAGGCTCTGGCCTCCCACCTCCCTTCTCACAGTGAAGCCAAAGGCTCAGAGGGGTGAAGTGGCCCCAGACAAGGAGGAACTTCCCCTGTGTCACAGGACTGGGCACACTGGGAGGTGCTCCCTGACATCTGACTTAGAACTCGCCTGCTTGTTTTCATAAGAAGTGGGTAGGGAAGAAAAGCTATTTGCCCCCTTGGTGAGAGATTCCTTCTAGGATGGGAACGGCTCAGCTGAGTCACCCCAAACTCTTTCTCTCGGCTCAAGAAAGTTCTCAGCTGCCGGCTTCTTCCTTTCCTACCAGGATGGAGCTGATCACCCTTGGTCCCCAGGTCCCATTTCATCCACTCAGCTAATACTTACTGAGCCCAACTACACACCAGGCACTGTGCTAGGCACTGGGACAGAGCCGTGGACACAACAAAGAGCCCTACCCTGGGGGAGCGGGCTTCCTAGCTGGGGAGTCTATGAACTTAATTCTGTCCTCAGACCACCATGATCCTCTTCTCTCAACATCCTATAATCCAAGACTGTCACATGTTTTGGTGGTGACGTATTCCTAAAACAGCAGGCATTTCTATTTGGCAGCTGGAGTGGCTGCCACATGGTTACAAGGAGACCTGCAGGGGGAGGAAGAATGGAGGTGAGAGATGGGCATTATTTCAGATTCTGTGCACAACAGAGGCTTTCATTAATATTTACATACGACTGTCTCAAAGCTGCATCACTCAGTGTACAGACGTGACAGCAGCGCTGTATTTCTCGTCTTTGTTAAGCCTCTGCCTCCCCCTCTAGGCTGTGAGGATGACCAGCAAGGCACGGCCAAGTGGGTGTTGAGACGGAAGTGGCAGGCACGGGCAGGGCCTGGTCTCTTCCACGCCACCTTTCCTGAGTCCTGGGGGCCTCTTAACCCACAGCCTTACCCTGAGCTTTGAGGCCTCCGGGGAGAGATTCACTTTTCATAGCATGGCCTAGGGCGGGCGGGAGCTGCTGGGGGGGCGGAGGGGCG